ATATTAGTTCAAAAATAAATATTTTACCTAGTCAGTGTTAATCTAGCTAGTTATACATATGTCTCTTCTTCTATCGGGAAAATTTTATAGCGACGCGGGAAAAGGAAAAAAAAAACAGAAGAAAGAAATTAAAGTAAGCTCACACCAAACGGAATCTTGATGCAATCTCAAGGTCAATGATCTGTAATTCTCTCGTCCATGATTGAACCTTCGATTCTATTGGCATGTAGTGTAAATTGTTTTTAGGAATATGCCCACGATATCCTCAGAGAACGTAACATGGAAGTTAATTAAATCATATGCAATATTATTTTGATGTGATTAAGTGTAAGCAACTTCCAGCTCAGGGTAGGAAATTATTTAAGCTCAAACGAGTTAATTATTTGAATAATGGAACTGGTATAAGCATATACTTCATGAACTATGACGAGTTAGTTTATTGTTCATTTATAATCGTGGTATAATATGCAATACTTTATGCCTGAATGACACTTGTTCATTGTTTATGATATTTAATAGGATTCAAAGAGAAGTCGGTAATAATTTTAAGTAGCTTAAAGTTTTTAAGTTAACTAAAATTGATTCCAAGCATTCACTTAGGTCCCATATATTTGAGCTTGATTTCTCTCCTATTTACTTCTATAGGGCAATTAGATACACCCCGTCGATTTTGCTTGGCTTCTTATTACATATAAATGGTAACAATCAAAGTCTAGATGCATAAAACAAACTCCCAAAACATAAGACTTATCAACTTCCTAGTCGCCCATTTTGTTTTTTAACTTCTACAGATATTTAAATGAATATGAATGCTAATCATACTCGTAATGTGGTGCTATTCAGTGATTACTCCAAAAAGTTCTACTGTTAAATGTAATATTACGAAATTGTTACGTACTTATATCAATTAGTTATAGTATGGATTCAATCAACAAAATATTGAATTAACATGCAAGAGTAATGTAAGTTCCAATACAATCTAACATATATATTTCCAATAAGAAACAATTATTTTAGCTTTAGTTGTTGGCCTTCATGCATAGATGATGAGGGCGGAGCCACACAGGAGAGGAGCTTGATGGGATAGCCTGTTGTCGTCGGTTTGGTCTCCAAGTGGGAGATTGTTAGATTTGGGGGTGGAAACCAACCTCCGCCGGCGAGGAGCTCCGACGAGCTCGAGGATGGCGTAGGCGAAGCAGGAGGGATAGTCCCAGGCGAGCTCGAGATCCGCTGCGAATGCCCACCTGACCCTCGCGTCCAGAAGCTCGACGACCCTCGCGTCCGAACACTCCGACCATCGCGTTTTGGAACTCCGACGTCCGCGTCTCCGTCGATTTTAATTCCCAGCCTTCAACAGTGGTTGAGGGGAATTTAAGAAGAGAGAGAAAATAGAAGAGGGGATTTATTGTGGACTTCATTTATTCTCAAAAGAGACTTTGAAAGGGTTTATTCCCTTTATTTATTAACACTGCAGCTACAGTGTTCTTTTGAGAGATCTCATTTTTGATCTGCTCCTAAATTGTAATTTCTTGTTTGATTAATAAGAAATTTACTGTGTGGCTCCCGAGGACGTAGGCAGTTGCCGAACCTCGTAAATCTTGGTGTACTTTTTCTATTCTGCGTTTCTGTTGCATTAGGGGTTTCAGTGTTAAATTCCCAACATGTCATGCGCTTAATTATCATGAAATGTGAAGTTACGTACTTAATTAGCTAGCTATAAGTGTCAGTTTACAGACTCTCAAAGTAGAGTAAGATTTATATAAAAACTCCGAAGAAGAAACACAAACAGGACACCATATAACAAAGGAAATGCCTGTATGACTGAAATAAAAAACAACTTTTCATAAAAAGAAAGAAAGAAATCACATCATAATTAATATATAGTAAGATCAACTAGCTCAACGTCTAATGTTAGAAATGCTTGCTCTTGTTCACATTAAGCTCAGAACCAATGTAGTTATCATCATCGTCAATTAATGAATATGTCAACACACACGAAAGAGCAAAATCAATCCAAACAATAACCTAAACCATAAATTATATGTATAAGACAGGAAGATGCAATATATTATACGTACCAACCAAAGTGGAACCTCTCCTTGCACTTCGAGCTCACCCTCCCATCTTTCTTGCCTTATACTAGTCCAAGCAGCCAACTTCCCTCCTCCACGGCCATCTTTCTCCACCGGCGCCGGCGGGCTCGACACTATAGGGTCGGTTGCAACCCCTACCCGAACCGGATCCAATTCCCGTCGACCCGGCCGCTTTAAACCCATCGACCCGATTGACCGCCGTCCAGGCTTATCCGACCCGGTTGAATCCGACGACCTAAGGGTCGATACAAGTCCGGAGCAAGGCATATATGAGAGAACAGTTGAAGACATTGTACTGTAGGAGTTGTATGTATGTTGCAAATGTATCGAGAACAACTAACAAAATGGATCCTTGCGTGATTATAACAAGGAGAGTGTCGATGTATATATAGAGTCCAAGTGCCTTCATGTTCTCATGGTAGAATCTTTTCCTTCGTTATTCCTAACCGCAAGAGGACGAATCACTTCATTTGGCGACTTAAAAAAATAATAAAATTTTAAGAGAGAGAGAGAGAATGGCGCACTAATTCTTCATCATAAACTGGCATAGGGTCCACCTTGCTTGGTCAAATTTGTGTGTGGGTTCAGTAGTGAGTAGAATGCGTGTGGGTGACGCATACGCTTTGTTGATTCCATTTCAATCGATAAGATCTCGGCTAAATAGCACTTAAATACCCTCTTGTTCACATTTGGACTTAAATAACCTAAGTTATAAAATATAATACTTACTCTAAGTTGTTAACCGTTAAAATGTTGTAAAATATGTTTGAAAAAATGGCTATTAGGACGAAAATATCTCTATGTATAACTTAACTCCTTCAAAAGCTAAAACAAGGCTAAATATCAGAAAGCCGCCTTAACTTTGGACGATTAATAAATAACCCACCAGAACTTTGAAAATATCCAAAAAAAACCATTAACTTTAGGGGTTATAAGAAAAACTCTTTTAACATTAAGATTTTATCAGAAAATCTCCTTAATTTTAAAGGGATATTCTAATAAAATTTTAAAGTTAAAGGTAGTTTCGAATAAAATATTAAAGCTCAAAAGGAGGTTTTTTTTGGTAAATGAAAACTTTATTCATTTAACCGTATGGAAAATTATGTACATCAGAACTCAAAAACTGAGTAAGCTCCAACAATTAAAAGAAAACAACACCATGCTAACTATTTACAGGAAAGATCAAAGCTGGGTGCCATATGAAGTTAAAGAGAAAGAATCCAGCCCTTGTTCTCTGTAGATATATCATTGTTGAGAATTATTGTTATCAAATCCACCTTGATGATTTTGATTAATTGCTCAGTCCTCCTACATTTCTGATTGAATATCCTCCCATTACGCTCCAACCAAATGTTTATATATAGAGGAGGAAAGTGTCATTCTTTTCACTCTGTGCTTGAATCTCTTCCCACGCAAACAGGAACTATACCAGATTAGCAATTGATTCCATTCACAACTCCTCCACTTAAATTGTAACCAAACCATAATCCTATTCCAAACTTCTTTAGAATAATTGTAGGCAGAAAATAGATAGTTCCTGCTTTCAGCTCCTAATCTAGAACACATTGGTTTGATTGGATAATATCCCTCCTGAGCAATTTATCCTGAGTCAAAAGCCTATCTTGAATAGCTAATTCTATGAAGGAATGCTTAGGGAGATTAACACCCCCCGGCAGTGTTATACCAAGTCACCTTATTAGTTGTAGGGGATAAAGCATGGTACATAATAGAGAGTTTGATTTTGGAATTTTTGCAGCAAGACCTGATTAATGTCATTAAGTTTTCAACTCCACAATAATGCACCAAAGCTCTATTTCTGATTTTTAAGAGCTGCTTCCACATCCAAGAATCCCCAACCTTTATTTCCACTTGCCATATATCCATATGTTTTAGATATGTACCATGAATCCATTTGATCCATAAGCATTCCTTATTTGAATGAATATCCCAGAGAGTCTTCAGAGCTGCTGCATAATTCCATAAGATTGAAGAGAAAATCCTTAGGCCTCCATACATCTTTCTTGTGCATGTTTTTTCCTATGATACCAGCGTGTCTTGAAAGATTGATCTATTTTGCCCTAGAGAAAATTTGTGCAGAGTTCATCCACTTTCTGTAACACTTTAGTTGGTAAACATAACTTGAAGTCCAGTAAATTTGAATTCCTAGTATTATAGTCTTTATTATCTAAATTATACTCGCATATGACAGGTTTCTCTTCAGACAGCTTTGAAATTGGTTTGATATTTTGGTGAAGAGGGGGTAGCAGTCCTGGAAAGTGAGCCTCTTACTGACTAGAGGGACACCTAAATATATATTAGGCATAGGCCCCTCAAGGAATCCCAAATGATCTTTGATAGCATTCATAACAGGATCAACCACTCCTCCGTAGAAGATGGCACTTTTACTTGGATTTGCTTCAAGCCCAGATACTTCATTGAAACTAGAGACACATTGGTAGAGCTTTTGAATAGAGTAAAGATCACCCTTGCAGAATAACAATAGGTCATCCGTAAAAATCAAGTGAGTGATTTTTATCCTCCCACACTTTAGATGAAAATTAAAGTTTCTATCCTACTTCAGAAGATCAAGATTTCTTGATAGGTACTCCATACCCAATATGAACAAATAGGGGGAAAGTGGTTCACCTTGCCTTAGACCTCTTTCACCCTTAAAATAGCCATGAAGAGAGCCATTGAGTGAAATAGAAAACTTAGGAGAGGAAATACAAGTCATGATCCTGTTGGTGAAAACACTAAGGAAACCCAAGCCTTTTAGCATGATCCTCTATGAACTTTCAGCGGATGATATCAAAGGCTTTACGAATATCACTATTTATCATTACTCTAGGGGATATGTGCTTTCTGTCATAATTTTTAACCATATCATGTGCTAAAAGAATATTGTTGGCTATATGTCTACTCTTCACAAAAGCACTCTGAGTATCACGAATGAGATATCCCATAACTGATTGTAGCTTATTAGTAAGAATTTTTTATATCACTTTATATATGTAATTACAGCAGGAGATTAGCCTGAAGTCGGAGGGAGTACTAGGGCAATGTACCTTATGGACAAGAGTGATAGATGTAGAATTTATAGCCCCCAACAGTTTCCTAATTTTAAAAAAACTTTCAATTGCATGAGTAACTTCATCACCTATAACTAACCAAGCAGATTGGAAAAATAAAGCTCTATATCCATCTGGTCCTTGGGATTTGTTGTCTGACATAGAGAACATTGTACTTTTGATTTCCTCTTTTAAAATAGCTGCATATAAACTCCTAATATAGTTATCTTTCAGGCAAGGCCTAGATTGGATAATCCTTATGCTATGATTTTTTTGTTGTTACAGCTGTACCCATGAGGTTCTTGTAGTAAGAAATAATTTCATTTACAATATCCTCTCCCTTAGTAATTCTTTCACCCATGCTGTTATTCATAACCAACACTCTGTTTTGAAGTCTGTTAGCTTTCAAAATAGAGTGAAAGTAGCTAGTACATCTATCTCCCTTGATGCACCATTGAATTCTGGCTTTTTGCTAATAGAAGGATATCTCACATGTCAAGAGCTTATTATAGGTTGGTAAACATTCTTTTTCCTGACTGATGAGTGCAGGGTTGAAAGGGCCTTCTTGCAGCTTATTTTGAGTTTCCCCTAATACAATTTTAGCTCTTTGGACTTGCTCACTTATATTAGCATAATTTTTTTTATTGAGATCTTGTAGGGCACCCCTCAAACACTTAAGCTTGGTGTAAACATAATATATTTTATATCTGTTATGGCAACTCACCATCTAAAGACAAAAATATCGAGAAGCTATGTCTTCATAAGTCCAAAAGAGCTATGGCCCAAACCAGCTTAGCGGCTCAAAGCCCAGGCAAGAATAAATCTATCGACCAACCGAGAAAATAAGTCATCTTCACCAACACGAAGTGCGGGATCAGTCGGCCCCTCATGATCGAGACGACTCCTTAAGAGTCCACCCGCCCCATGATTGAGACAACTCCTCAAATAGTTGGCTCGACCATCTACTCGACAGTCTACTCGGCCAGAAGCTCGCTCGACTGTCTGGTCGGCAAATCATAGGGACGATTCAAAAACCGACCCTTCTCTACTAAAGGGATAAGATCCAACTAAGTCTCTTCAGATATATATCAATCAACACTATAGTATTGATCGATCCCATCAAGATCTTAACTTTGACAAATCTCGTGCGTAAACAACTTACTCTGCTCACAAGTCACTTCACAGAGACTACTAAGATATTCTCTCTTGTGCTCGAATGACTTCCCTCCCAGTCGCCAGCTGACATCTGTAAAGTGGAGGATGACTAAGCAGCCAATCTATCTTTCGCCAGGCCTCATCTGTCAAATCTGGGATCTTATGGAGACAATTTTTTCTATGTTCGAATGACTTCCCTTCCAGTCGTCAACCGACATCTGTAAAGCGAAGGATGACTCAGCAGCATGTCCGCTCACTTCCCAACCATCCTCCTGTGCATAGTCAGAGCCAAGGGTCAGTGTCTCAGAGGTGATTGACTATAAAAGGAGAGAAACAAGGTAAGAAAAGGGGTTCGAGTTCTGGTTCTTCTTCTTCTTCTTTATTAAACTTGGGGGATCATTTTCTCCTTCTTGATCTACTTTTACTAAAAAGAGAACTAATATCTCTAAAAGAGTACCCCCTTACAAGGACCTCAATGGTCCCAGGACTCTCCTTCAAACCCCACTCAAACTCACCAACTGACTTGGCCATCAGAGGTACCATAGGGGAAACTAGTCCCGCCCTCTTATGAGTTCGTTCTTCTTATTTATGCAGAAGAATCAGGAATTCCAGTCCAAGGATCAGGCATAAAATAGGAGGAGGAGTCGGCCCTATCTCCCATCCTCTCCCTCTTCGTCGTTAGCGCAAAGATTTGAACTGCATCCATCAGTGGAAAGCTCTCATCGACTGTGTGATCTCGGACATCAACAGTTTGGCACCCACCATGGGGCCCACTTTATTCTCTAAGAAGACATGCCCAATTCTGAGCAGGGGCCTGATCTTGTTCATTCTTGAAGAACACCACTAGAATCACACCATTCAAACTAAACAAAGCCTGGAATCACATCATTCAAATCTTTTTCATTTTCAATCCTTTTGACATGATTAGAAAATTCTTCAAAACAATCACTTTTATTTGCA